ATAGAAAGCAGCGAGAAACTCCTGAACACTCAGATGAATGAAACTGTAGACCTTCTTCTGATGAATCACAGATTCCTCCTTAAAGATCTCAGTGCAAATCCCAGAATACACTGAGGCGTCAGTGAGGTCTATGCCGCTCTCAATCAGGTCCTCCTCGTAGAACATCACATTGCCCTTCATCAGCTGTTTGAAAGCCACTTCAGCAAGTTTCACAATCACTTCTCTGTTGGTCTGCAGGAGTTTCTCTGGATGTCTCTCTTCATACTTCTGTTTCCTCATGTTGATCTGAATCAGCAGGAAGTGGATGTACATTTCAGTCAGAGTTTGAGGGATTTCTGCACTCAGATCTTCTTCCAGGAGCTTCTGAAGCACAGTGGATGAGATCCAGCAGAAGACGGGGATGTGGCACATGATGTGGAGGCTTCTTGCTCTTCTGATGTGTGAGATGATTCTGCTGGCTTGATGCTGGTCACTGATTCTCTTCCTGAAATATTCCTCTTTCTGAGGCTCAGTGAATCCCTGAATTTCTGTCAGACGGTGGATGTATTTGGAGGGGATCTGATTGGCTGCTGCTGGTCTGGAGGTGATCCAGATGAGAGCAGAGGGAAGCAGCTCTCCTTTCATGAGCTTTGACATCAACACAGCCACTGATGAAGTCTCAGTCACATCACAAACTTTCTGAGCGTCTGAAAACATCAGTGTGATTCTGCTTTCATCCAGACCATCAAAGATGAACACAACTTTACACTCCTCATAAATCTGTGAGTCCAGATCTTGAAGTTCAGGATGAAAGTCCAGCAGAAGTCTGTGAAGACTGTACTGATGATCTCGGATCAAGTTCAGCTCTCGAAATGGAAGCACAAACATGAAATCTACATCCTGATGGGCTTTTCCCTCGGCCCAGTCCAGAATGAACTTCTGCACAGAGACGGTTTTTCCGATTCCAGCGATGCCTTTAGTAAGAACAGTCTTGATCTGCTCTTTCTCCTCAGATCCTGCTTCAGCTGAGGCTTTAAAGATGTCATTGCAGTAGATTGGAGTGTCTTGTGAGTGTTGTGTTCTGGCTGTTTTCTCCATCTGTAAAACCTCATGTTCTTCATTCACTCCTTCTCTCTCTCCCTCTATGATGTAGAGCTGTGTGTAGATGCTGTTCAGGAGGCTTTCATTCTCCTGGAGTTTCAGTCCCTCAAATAATCTCTCATACTTGTTCTTCATGCTGGTTTTGAGCTGCTCTTTGACTCTCTGTAGTTCATCATTAACTGGTCCAAGAGAAGCCTGCTGTACGTCTTCAGTCTGACTGTCTTTATACACACTACTGAAACAACAACAACAACAAAAGAAATGATTAAATTATATGAAATTAATTTAAAAATGTACATGTATGAACACAGTTAAAACGTAAATGATATTGTCAATCAGTTGTAGGGCTGAGATAATATTGGTGCAACTCTTTATGGCCTCAATACATTATTAAATGTGCAGTAGGAGAACTTGGAAAATGCTAACTTTAGCCTGATAGCAACGTCCCATCCTCCCTGCAATCGCCGTCCAAAGCCACGCCCCCTGAAAGCATTTACGCTCACAGACCAGAGACAACATTACTACAATAGGCTACATCAGCGGTTCCCAATTCCAGCCCATGTTCCGAAGTGAAGTAAACTTCAACGGATTTCCCCCGCTCAGGGAGTAGGGAGCAATGAACACTGTGTAGGGATCATATCGATCGGAACACAGTTCATGCACGTAGCTCACTTCTAACGAGCTGGCGCGCGAGGACTGGATTAACCGCTGGACTACATCATGTGTCATTCACCGGTGAGAAATCTTTAAAAGTACTACAATATCAGGAAGGAAGATCGGGTTGTTGATTTTTGCCTGCCATCCTCGCTCTGTCTGCACAGCGTGCGTGAACGCGCTGATGACGTATCCTGTCTGCGGCAATCGCTGTCCAAAGCCACGCCCCCTGAACGCATATACGCTCACAGACCAGAATACCAGAGACAACATTACTACAATAGGCTACATCAGGTTCCCAATTCCAGCCCATGTTCCGAAGTGAAGTAAACTTCAACGGATTTCCCCCGCTCAGGGAGTAGGGAGCAATGAACACTGTGTAGGGCTCATATCGATCGGAACACAGTTCACGCACGTAGCTCACTTCTAACGAGCTGGTTATCTGAATCGGGTGTGTTAACTAAGCGAGACATTCAAAATATGCAGAACGGGCGCTGGGCTACATCATGTGTTATTCACCGGTGAGAAAACTTTAAAAGTACTATAAATACCAGGAAGGAAGATCGGGTTGTTGAAGTTTGTCTGCCATTCTCGCTCTGTCTGCACAGCGTGCGTGAACGCGCTGATGATGTATCCTGTCTGCGCGAACCGGGTGCGTAGAGGTATGCAAATACAAATGTTGACAAAACGGACCGAGCGTTTTGATTGGACGAACATTTCATGGTC